TTGGGCTTAATACGCGGCTGGGCCTATGAACCGTGGGCTTAATAACCGGCGACTACTTTAACAGTTAATAAGCCAGAAATGGCCATTCCGGTCTCCTTTGTCTTTGTTAGTTCCAGTTCATCATTGTCAGATGATCAAAAAAGAAGTGGGAGAAACGAGAGAACAGTTCCAATCCGGCCTAAACGACAATGAAGACATGTGTCCGAGTTAGGATGTAACGTTTCATACTACTTTTGCATGATTGAGGAATGTCAGTTAGAGCATCTGGGAAGCAACGTTCGCCAGTAAAAACGACAATTGGTCTAAGTGCAGTTTTTTAAAGTGTCAGTCTACGATGATTCAACAATTGAAGGCTCTCGACAAGAATGATTGAACTAAGTTGAGAACAACGAAAATAAATGCCTGTGATGATGAGTTAAATGGGTTGCCGTGTCCTTCATTATGTCTCATCTCCAGCACAGCCGAAAACAACCTTTACACCCACTTCAATACCTTCAGGTAAGCTATAACGGTAGAAGGACTTCAATTTTAACTGATCTTCACAAAAAAGGGATTCACTTCGGAATGATAGAATAAACACGAGAGACCGGCGGTATAATTGCAAAAGCACTTAACAAAAACTGAGCTAATAGACACGGCCTAAGATCAAAAAATGACCCTAGCACACACACTGACACAAACGCCTTCACTTTCATGGATAAGATATGCACATGGTCTTCTCTCTGGCAGTCATTACTTCGAGGCGATGTGATATTTGTAGAGATGATGGTTGTGAAGGAAGAGAGAATGAGAGGGATGACAGGTTTCGGGTTTGCAGCGGCAAGCAGTGTTGTAGATTGGTGCTTGAGGAGTTTGAATGTCGCTGGAACCTCTTGTGTACAGTTGACGGTGGCTGCTCTTCCCAGCATGGTGATGGTGGTTTGTGTTGGAAGAGAAATATGGGATGGGGGAAAAACAGAAATGTTATAGCGAAGAGACAACGGCAACACATAAGAACAATCGCACGGGTTGAGGCACAACGATAATTGTTGTTGAGAGAGCACTCAGACAAGACTTATTCAATTTTTTTGCCTTACGGACAAGTGAGAAAGGAAGAAAAACCGAAGATTGGTCTGAGAACACGTGTGAATCAACGGATTGTCTACGAAAATTGGATGTTTTAATTTAGGTGACATCACGGCAAAGGCGAAGGAAAGATAGTGAATATCTAGCGGCCAGAAGCATTTATGCATTAGTTAAACGGTGCCAACCACACTATATGTGATAGTGCCAACCATGTTAACTAGCCAACGACTGGACGTTTGCGATTGCCCCAATGAACTGACGGGTTAAGAGCTGGAACCACGAGCTAACGAAAGCGAAACGCATATTGACCACTTAGTTGACTAATGAGATTTACCACGCTCATTAAATAAACGTAGGTCTAAAGGTGGTTTATATCCAATTCATTCCAGGCGCGTATGGAATGGACGGTGCTGTCGCATGCCGCACAGTAGCGGACGAGACTATTCGTGATATGTAACAAATATGCCTACTAATAGGAAAGATCAAGCATGTTTACCAGATTAGTGGCCAGATTGGCCAAAACCTGACAAGCACGAAACCAGACAAGACCGGATGTTAAAACATGGGCACTCAGTGACAGACATCACATGATGAGATTGTATGAGTACGGAAATCCGAGTACACCTATAAATACTGCAATTGGAAGTAATGAAATTTGAGAAAAAAACTCTTCTTGCCTTTCCTGAAAAGAATTTCGGATGAAAATGTGAATATGGCAACGGATAAACGCGCATTATATGCTGGTACTCACTATAGCGTGACAATCAAGTGCTCCGGCGTTAGTGTGATGGGAGACGCGATCTTGGTTGCCAAACCTCCGGTTGGGACGGCGTCAAGGTGTCGCGTGAGGCAAAACTGAAAGCCAGCCGCATCGTAAAGGGAAAACGTGAACCAGCCCGAGGAATAGTAGTATGATTACAAACAATCAAAGCCTCGCAAGCCTCCTCGAGCGTGCGCCATTCAAGAAGGCCCGAAGAGGATCTATCATTCTTCTGAAAAGGCGTCACAGTTCTGGAAGGAAGTAAACAAATAGAGCAAAACACAGATAATAAGAGCATGAACGAGACATTCAGTATGGGTCTGGGTGACCTAAAACAATGAGCGACTAAGGGTATGTGTGAGACTAGCAGACTCACAATGGTATTGCAACGGCAGCATTGGCAAAAATGCTTTGAATTTCTTCGGTGCTGAAACCGGGTGGACAGTTCCAATAATGCAGAACATTTGAAGGTGGATAAATGCGATTTTTGGCAGCACTTTCTGGTTGTAAATATCGATTGTTACGACTATGTGCAAAGTCTTTGAAGGACTCGGTTCCATCGGGTAGCGTATGCGGCTGGGGAACGTCCAGGATCTGCGTCTGACGGCTGGGCTGACCCTATATGTATATCGATAATAAAAAAAATTTAGACTGTGAAGGGATATATTGAAGGAACATTGGGAATGATAGGCAGACAAAAAGAAACTGGAATTTGGGGCCACATTTTACAGAACCAGGTAGAAAAATTGTTTTAGTGGTTATTGAAATTTATGAGGCAAATATGTTTTTCTATAAATGATTGGTAAATTTACGTCGAAACTTTGCTGACAAAACATTTGTTGTCCTGCTGGATAGCCTACAAACGTTTAATAAGGCGTAAACGTCGATCGAGTATGCAAGTTGAGAATTTTCTTTTATATTTAGCAATTTTTATCGGATTTATCGATAAAAAAAGCATAATGAGATAGGGTTTGTTTTGTTGTTTTCGTAACTGGTTCAACGACAAGGACCTAATGAAGAAGACCCATCCCTAAGTTATAATGACTTTGTAAACGTGCAGCAGTGGGGAATGACTGT